AGCTCGAAAACTAAAGAGAAACATGCTTTTTGCTTCAACCGAAAATCAGCTGCAGTAAGAATCTTTTAGTAATACAGCAGCTAGCGACCTAATAATGTGCAAGCGACCGCCAGCCTTAAGACTTCCACCAGCAAACGCAACTCGATCGGAATCTCCATACATAACACTCGCAGATTTCAAAACAAATTATCGAATCTCCCACAATCTCCGAGAAAAAATGATTTGTTCATGTCAACTTGCAGTCGGTTCCTTCAAGTGTTTAGGTAGTAATTCTGCAGCTACAGACCTGGAAATTTCACTGGCGGTATAATCTACTACAAGTGCAAAAAAAACGTGTTCTCGAAACGAACTGTCAACTACATCACTATCATCAAAAAAACTGACCACAGGTCATCACACTGTCCGACCTGGCCGGGTCGTTCAACTAGCTCCACCCTGCGCCTCTGGCAACTGCCTCTAGCGCACACAATCTTCAGAAAAGTGATCTTCATCAAAAACTACGCCATATGAAGCATTGGTTTACATGTTTACGCGTGTGTGGCGTGATCTCGGCTCTATTCTGCCTCCAGACCGGTGCATCTCCAGACCGATGCACGTGATCATTTCATATCGATTGATTAATATTTCCTTGGGCAACGGCTTGCAGCTCACGCCAACCTCCGAAAATTTACTTTGATCCGAAAATTACGTCCTGTGTTCACTGGTGAAAATCTTACGACCGTAGCTGCAATATGCTTTTGTCGATTCACTTTCACGGACTGGCCTCGCATGATTTTTTATACAATAACAAACCCACAGAGATTTATTGTTTCGCTTTGAGAACCAAGACTTTCAGAAACTGTAGTAGGTTAGGCCGCGCTTGCCAATGAAACTTGATGGTCCGCACCTGCAGTATCAAAACACTTGGCAGACTGACTGGAGTGAAACCCAAAACATACTTTTTCGAGTCTTGAACTATACTCAAAAAAACTTCCTTTTTGCACTCGTAGCATAGCTCTACGCGGGCCCCGGCGTAATCTGGCACGCTGGAAAGCATGCCTCGGAAGGTTTCAACCTGATAAGCTTTTTAGGTCTCTAGCTGCTATATTACTCTCAAACACTGGCGGAAATGGTTTTCCTGCGAAAATCCGGAAATATAGTTTTCAGGTCATGCTCGAGAAAGCTTTCTGTCTGCATTAAAGCATCATGCGTGTCAGGAGCTCTACGAGATTCCCGGCGGTAAGCTGGTAGACGATTTGCCCCCGACGTTCCGTTTTGATCAGTAGGGCTCGGTTGAACATTATGTTCTCAGATTTCAACGTTCTTAGATATCTAGATTATTGCTAAGCTCTATGATGATACTCCCGCTCGCCATCTTGATATCAGGTCAAGCGGGCTGATACTGTTATGAAACGCCAAAAGGCGGACTCGCTATTTCCGACGCGCGCTGGGGCGCCGCGCGCTGATCCATGTCTTAAGCAAGTAGTTGCAAGATGATAACTGTGGAACTCAATCGGTCACCGCTAAAGGTTAACTTTAGTTCCAAGCCAACATGGCGAATGTCCTATCTTGGGCGATAAAACCACCATCACGCGCAGACGCGCGGACGCGGCGCGCGCTGACCCAAGCGATAAACATGCAGTTGGGAAAGACGTGTTAACTTGGCAAATAGACTTGATCACCGGCAAGGTTCCCTTTAGCTTCATAGCCAAGATGGCGGCTTTCATATGCTGGACAGCAAGATAAACATCACGCTCGGACGCGCGCGCGTGCCGGCGCGCGCCGCACACAGATTAAGTTAAGCGGTGTCCTTGCAATTCAAAAATATGCGACATTGGCCATCGATTGTTCTCTGCTAAGGGTTCTCTTTAATTTCGAAGCCAACTGGGTGCCGACGGTAAACCGTCAACCAGGTGACCACCAGGGGCCTCGTAGAGCTCCTTACACACATTACAGTGCTGTAAATGCAGGCAATAAGCCCCCTGGAATATCAGCTTGAAAAATAAAGAAAGCGATTTATAAGTGCACGGAAAAGACAGCTGCACAAAGACTTTTGAATAACACAACAGCTAGAAACCACATAATTTGCAAGCGAACGCGACTGAAACTACTGCGGTTGCAAAGAAATTCATCCCTGAAACGA